CTACTATCTCTCTAACTCATGGAGCTTGTCAGTTTCTGCACAGCAATCTAATTTTACCATAAACCCTTTTTTATGAACAATTCATCCCTCTTCTCCCATCTCTCCTATTCACTATGTCACCTTGCTAATAGATCCTCCCTTCTCAATCATCTTAGTTGCACCAAACATTCAGTGAGGTTAGTTTGATATAACCTATATTTTTTCCTGTTTCTGATCTGCTTATTCTTGTCCAAACAGTAGGTTATTCTGGTCTCACTTTTCAAGGTTCGTTTGATTACAACTGCTGCCAGCCTCAATAATGTCATCAATTGTGGCCTCACCAGCCTCATACACAGTTACAGCATAATCTTTCTGCTCTTGTATTCTATGCCCCAGCTAGTAAGGGTATCCCAAATGCCACCTAACAACCTAGTCTGCATGCCTTGCCACCTTCAAGGATCTGTGCAAAACACATAAAGGTCCCTCTGGCCTTCAATACTTTGTTCATCATGTACATTCATCATGTAATCCCTGGCCTTGTTAGCCCATGTTAGGGCATTGAAGTGCTCAGAAAATGTGGAACTCATTGTAGTTTCTTCCCAAGATGTGGCTGATTACTCATTACCAATAGAATTTTTGGATTTCACCTAAAAAAAAAAACAATATAGACTGAATCCCCCAACGATTTATTGTCAATTCTTCATTCTGCCCACACAACTATTAGTTTAGCTAAAACTTAGTGAATTATCTTAACTGTTGATGGTCAATGTCTTTCACAAATTCCATTACAGAAGGGATTTCCTGCTGCTGTCTTCATTACCACAAAGTTCACATCATCTCTGATATCTTAAGATTACTCATTCAGTCAGGAATATAGCCGGTGCCCCAGTGCAGTCCCTATCTAATTTTTCATTATTCTTTGCTATGTTATTCAGATTGGCACTCTTAGTTGTCATGCCTATGAAGTACAAGATGTAATTTTTTTTTAGACTTAACTCGTACTTTCAAGTCCATTGCTACAACTTCATTGAAGTCTCATACTAATGGGAGAGTCATTATGGGTCAAGGTGGTGTTCTTCTTTATTTCCCACAGTTATCACATTTAATTCTGATCTTTTCAGTAAATTTAGTTAGTTTAAGTCCCTTATTCCACATCCTTTAGTGTTTTTAACTTTTGAGAAGATGGTTGAGCCAATTGGTGAAGTTTTAAGATAATTGGACATTTTTCCCCCCTTTCAACTCCGCTGCCCAGCGCCAAAGATATTTCTTTGCTATTTTGATTAGAAAAGTTAGGTCTTGCTAAAGGAGTGCAATAGTTATGGATTATGTAAGCTGAAAATCCACTGACCTCCCAAAAGCAATTGTTTTGACATGTTCCTTTGTTCATAGATGGCCTTCTCAACAGTAAGGCCATTTCACTTGATACCGAACCTGTGCTGATGAAGTGGCTTGCCTGTGCTATTTTATGTGAAATTACCATGTTTTCATTGACTTAAGTGTGTTGTAATTCCCAAACTTGAAGCAAGTAGAACTCAAACATTTATTATCTACAGAATTTCAATAATGTTTTAACCAATGCAACCATACCTTGGAGACACATCCACTGTCAAACAGAGCATTTTTATGATGTAAACATTCACCCTTTTGTGACCAGTAAAATTCCTTCTGCTTGATTGGTATCATACCCCTTCTCCTTCATTTTGAAAACCTCACTGTTCCATTCAGGACAATAATTGCATAATAATATTTCAAGCTGCAGCCAAAATCCATTGACCGTTCCCAGACGTTTCTGGGCTTCAATCTTCTCTTGAAGTTTCCTGATTCCCACCTCATGTCATAACTGCCAAAGATGTGACTATCTTTGCCGCTTTTAGTTATGATCCTTCTTTGCTATTGACACTTGCATTCCATGTATCAACAGTGTAGAAATGCAGCTACAATTAAATTTTTTTTGTGTTGCCATTTATGTCAAGAAGGCTGCTGAAAATTAATAAAAACCAAAAGAACTGCGGATGCTGTAAATCAGGAACAAAAACAAAGTTGCTGGAAAAGCTCAGCAGGTCTGGCAGCATCTGTGGAGGAGAAAACAGATTTAATGTTTTGGGTCCGGTGACCTTTCCTCAGAACTGATGGTGGCTGTGAAAACGTAAGTTTATATGCAGAAAATGGGAAGGTGGGTGGGGTAGGGAGTAAATGATAAGATAGAGCCCAAAGAGAGAGAAAGACAGTTGGACAGACAAAGGAGTTGCTAACGATCAGGCTGGGAGAGTGAATAGTTGTTAATGGGGACTGTTAGTGACTAACAACAGGAGGTGTGTAGTGGCAGGCTATGTGGTAACAAGGCCTGGTGTGTGGGGTGGGGGGCTGGGACATGGGAGAGTTTAGGCCCTAAAATTATTGAACTCAATATTGAGTCTGGAGGGCTGTAGGGTCCCCAATCAGGAAATGATGTGTTGTTCCTCCAGCTTGCGTTGGGCTTTGGAACACTAGCAAGCCAGAGACAGAGATGTTGGCCAGAGAGCAGGGTGGTGCATTGAAGTGGCAGGCAACAGGTAGTTCAGGGTCTTTTTTGCGAGCAGAACATAGATGTTCTGCAAAGCGGTCGCCAAGTCTACGCTTCATTTCCCCAATGTAGAGGAAACCACATTGTGAGCAGCGAATGCAGTAGACTAGATTCTTGGAAGTGCAGGTGAAGTGTTGCTTCACCTGGAAGGTATTTTTGGGCCCTTGGATAGTGGGGAGGGAGGAGGTAAATGGGCAGGTGTTACACCTTCGCCGGTTACAGGGGAAGGTGTCGTAGGGCTGTGGGGAGGTGTTGGGGGTGAAGGAAGTGTGGACCAGGGTGTCCCGGAGGGAACGGTCCCTGCGGAAGGCGGACAAGGGAGAGGAGGGAAATATGTGTCTGGTGGTGGCATCTTGCTGGAGGTGGCGGAAATGGCGTCTGATGATCTTCTGGATGTGGATGCTGGTGGGATGGTAGGTGAGGATAAGGGGAACCCTACTACTGTTGCGGGAGGGAAGAGAAGGGGTGTGGGCAGAAGTGCGGGAGATGGGTCGGACCCAATTGAGGGCCCTGTCGATAACGGAGCTGGGAAATCCTCGGTTGAGGAAGAATGTGGACATTTCGGAGGCTCCCTTATCGAAGTTGGCCTCATCTGAACATATGCGACAGAGACGGAGGAACTGAGAAAATGGGATAGAGTCTTTACAGGAAGTGGGGTGTGAGGATGTATAGCCCAGGTAGCTGTGGGAGTCATTGGGTTTGTAATGGATATTAGTGGCCAGTCTATCCCCAGAAATGGAAACAGAAATGTCGAGGAACGGAAGGGAGGAGTCCGAGATAGACCAGGTGAAAGTGAGGGCAGGATGAAAATTGGAGGCGAAATTGATGAAGTTTTCCAATTCTAGACAAGAGAGGGAAGCAGCACCGATGGTATCATCGATGTATCAGAGAAAGAGTTGTGGGTGGGGGCCGGAATAGGACTGGAACAAGGAATGTTCCATGTACCCCACGAAGAGACAGGCATAATTAGGGCCCATGCGGGTACCCATGGCAAACCCTCTTACCTGAAGAAAATGCGAGGAGTTGAAAGAGAAGTTGTTGAGGGTGAGGACACGCTCAGCCAAGCGGAGGAGGTTGGTGGTGGGTGGGGATGGTTCAGTTCTTTGCTCCAGGAAGAAGCGGAAAGCCCGAAGACCCTCCTGGTGGGGAATGGATGTATAAAGGGATTGCACATCCATGGTAAAGAGGAGGTGGCTGGAGCCGGCGTAAGGCGTCAGATGAATCATGGATGTATGTGGGCAGGGATTGGACCAGGGAGGAGAAGACTGAGTCAAGGTAGGAAGAGATGAGTTCTGTGGGACATGAGCAGGCTGAAACAATGGGTCGACCTGGACAGTCCTGTTCGTGGATTTTTGGTAGGAGGTAGAAATGAGCTGTTCAGGGTTGGGGGACTATTAGCTTGGAAGCAGAAGAGGGGAGATCCCCGGATGAAATGAGATCCGTAACTGTAGTGGATATAATGGCCTGATGTGCCATGGTGGGGTCATGGTCCAGGGGAAGGTAGGAGGAGGTATCTGAGAGCTGGTGCTCGGCCTCTGCAAGGTAGAGGTCAGTACGCCAGACAACAACAGCACCACCCTTATCGGCAGGCTTGATGACAAAGTTAGGGTTAGATCTGAGTGCACGGAGTGCAGTCAGTTCGGAGGGAGATAGGTTGGATTTGTTGAGAGGGGCAGTGAAATTGAGGCGACTGATGTCACGTCGACAGTTCTCAATGAAAAGATCGAGTGCAGGTAAAAGGCCGAAGGGAGGGGTCCAGGTGGAGGGAGAGAGTTGGAGTTGGGCAAAGGAGTCTGTGGGACGGGGAGAGGACTCTTGTCCAAAGAAATGAGCACGGAGGCGAAGATGGCGGAAGAACAATTTGGCGTCATGTCGTGCCCGAAATTCATTAAGGTGGGGACGCAGAGGAATAAAGCTGAGGCCTTTACTGAGTACAGAGCGTTCAGCATCAGAGAGCGGAAGGTTAGGAGGGATGGTGAATACACAACAGGGGTTGGGGGAGGGCATAGTCAGAGGGAAGGAGAGGAGAGGTAGGTTCCAGAGGGCCATGGGTATTTTTGAGTTGGTGCATCTTGTGGGCCTTGATCCCTGAAAGGAAAAGAAAAAGTTTCTTGTTAGCACGACGAATGAGCCAGAGGATGAAGTGGAACTGCAGAGTGGTGCAGCCCTGAGCCGGTGTGTTGCGATGCTGTTGGAGAGAAAGGTTGAGAGTGCGCATGTGACGCCGCATTGGGGAAACGAAGCGTAGACTTGGCGACCGCTTCGCAGAACATCTACAGTCTGCTCGCAAAAAAGACCCTGAACTACCTGTTGCCTGCCACTTCAATGCACCACCCTGCTCTCTGGCCAACATCTCTGTCTCCGGCTTGCTACAGTGTTCCAGTGAAGCCCAACGCAAGCTGGAGGAACAACACATCATTTTCCGCTTGGGGACCCTACAGCCCTCCAGACTCAAAATTGAGTTCAATAATTTTAGGGCCTAAACTCTCCCATGTCCCAGCCCCCCACCCCACACACCAGGCCTAGTTACCACGTAGCCTGCCACTACACACCCCCTGTTGTCAGTCACTAACAGGTCCCCATTAATAACTATTCACCCTCCTAGCCTGATCGTTAGCAACTCATTTGTCTGTCCCACTGTCTTTCTCTCTCTTTGGGCTCTATCTTATCGTTTACTCCCTACCCCACCCACCTCCCTATTTTCTGCATATAAACTGACGTTTTCCCAGCCACCATCAGTTCTGAGGAAGGGTCACCGGACCTGAAACGTTAACTCTGTTTTCTCCTCCACAGCTGCTGCCGGACCTGCTGAGCTTTTCCAACAACTTTGCTGAAAATTAATGTTTTCCCAGGAGTTTTTGTAAAGCTTCTGATATCTGTTCTGAAGCATCATTCTTTGTGAAAATCTAACAAGTTAATACTTGGCCCACCTATGTTCTTCACCTTAACACAGTCGAATAACTTAAAGACAAAAATTGAGTTAGGAAGTTTTGCAATCTGACAAACTCTGTTAAGTTTCATGATATATTTTTCTATAGAAATCTCTCCACCTTTCTAAATTTATCCAAGTCTGATTGTAACTCATTTATTCAATAAGTCATTTTTGTTAGAAATTTTGACTGTAATTTTTAATAAATTTCCAAACTTTCTTGGTGAAAAATTGTGCCCCAACACTTACATGGCTTTAGCTATTCATTGTAATTGGTATTGCCATGTTATGTCTAAATGATATCTTAGTTTCCAATTTTCACCTGTAGGGAACCATCCTCTGCTACCTCTGTATATAGATTCCAACCTAGCTAATGAGAAATCAAGGGATATTTGTTCTTTGTTGAGCATGACACAGTTTTCCTTTGTCTTGCTGCATCTCTCAGTTCTCATCTCACAACCAGTGTCACAGCTAGTCCTTATCTATATGTACTCATAGACAGTTAATATTCACCAGCTGTTTCTCTTGACCTTAACAATGACACAAATAAATCTTAACAGTGTGATTCAGCGGGCATGTGTATCTGATTACAACTGGAGACCATGCTGAAATGGATTCTCCACAGCTGGAGCAGGATTTGATTTTCGACAGTGCGTAGAACCCCAGACACAATGTTCTCTGCCCCACTGCCCTGGCTGTGGACTCTGCTGTAAACTGGTAGAGATCGAGTCTAATGATGATCTTCACTCTCTGCAGGACCATGTACCGCTGGCAGTCGTTGGAAGCACTCTAGTCTTTGAGGTCAATGGGAGAAAAGTTAGAGGTCGTCAGTATCCATGGGGAGTGGCAGAAGGTAAACGCTGTGATTTCAGCTTCTGATTTGAAGCTTTTCACATCACTATGTACAAGTGCCAACCAGCAATCAAGCCCAAGGACCATATCCAGACAGGACCCCTCCTCTAGATGTGACCTCTATCCCTTTGGGGCCAGGCCTCTGTTTGTGATCCTCCCCCGGCCCCCTTCCTCATGCAGGGCCTGACTTCCAGTCATAACCCTCCCCTCTCCACCTTTTTCTCCTCCCTCAGGGCCAGACATCCAGTCACGAATAAGCAATGGCCTGGTGGTATTATTGCTACTCTATTAGAGACCCAGGTAATGTTGTGGGGACCTGGGTTCAAATCCTGCAGATTGTGGCATTTGAATTAAATAATATACCATATAATTCGCAGGAAAATCCCATTTGGTTCACTAATGTCCTTTTATGGAAGGAAATCTGCCATCCTTACTTGGTCTGGCCTACGTGTGACTCCTCCAGACCAACAGCAGCGTGGTTGACTCTTAACTGCCCTCTGGGCAATTAGGGATGGCTAATAAGTTGTCTGGTCTGTGACATGTTCATCCCATGAATGAATACAAGGAAAAAATGTCATTACTCTCCTTCCTCAGGCTCAGGCCTTCAATCATGAACTCTCCCTTCCTCCGCACTCGGAGCCAGGCCTCCTGAGTGGCTGTTATATCCTAAGCAGTTGTCTCTAGCTGAGTTCTATACCTGCTTCCCATTCCATTTTGATTGTGCGTGCATGTTGGCTCCAGCAGAGCCTCCTGCAGATCATACTTTCAAACAGCTTGTGTAAGCTTCTCCTTTGCTGCACACCAGGGCAACTGCAAATAGAGACTCCAAGCTGACTTCTTCCAATCAATACCAATGTTTAACCCAAGCTTTGGCAAAAACCTCTTGTCCCCTGTCTATTTTATGGTTACTATCAGGGCAGTCTGAGTCTTGCCTGGCAACCCTGGCTATAGGCATATGCAAACTCAAATTATGTTCACAAATACATTTTGACCATCTCTTTGAACCCCAACACAGTATTTCTATTTCTGTGTTGTCTGTCGACTCACAATACCATTAGCAATGGTGTTCCAGGATTTGACCCAGTGATACTGAAGGGACAGCGATAAATTTCCCAAGTCAGGACGGTGTGTGTGGCTAGGAGGGAAACTTGCAGGTGATGTGGTGTCCTATGTATCTGATGTGGTTGTCCTGCTAGATGGAAGTGGTCATGGGTTTGGAATGTGCTGACTAAGGAGCCTTGGTGAATTTCTGCAGTAAATCTTGTACTTAGTACATGCTCTTGCTTTTGAGCATCAATGCAGAAAGATTGGATGGGGTGGCAATCAAGCAGGCTGCTTTGTCTTAGATGATGTATAAGTTCAATATTGCTGCTGATGCCCACAACAGACCATGGATGCCTTGATTTAAGTTGCTAGATCTGTTTGAAATCTATCAGTAGTGGTGCTGACCCAAACTAGTGATGATGAGTGATGAAATCAATTGAAAACATGAAATATAATGTGGAAGATGTGGGGTTATCCACTTTGAAAGAGGCTCAAAAATGTAGTGTACAAAGCCATCTAGGTGTCCGTGCCAATAAGTCACTGAAGGCTAATATGTAGGTACATCAATCTTATTAGAAGGACTAATGGTATTTTGGCCTTTATCACAGGAGGATTTGAGTAGGTAGGTAAGGGAGTCTTACTTCAATTGTATAGAAACTTGGTTGGACTGCACCTGAAGTATTATATGCTGTTTTGGTTTGCATAGAGGAATGCAACAAAGGTTCACCAGACTCGTTCTTGGCGCTGACGGGGCTGTCCTCTGAATAGAAATTGGGCAAACTTGGTCTTTGACTTCATTGAAACCTACAAAATATTTAAAGGGATATACAGGGTGGATGCAGGTAAGATGTTTCCCATCTTAGGAGTATAGAACCAGGGGACAGAATTTAAAAGTAAGAGGGATGTCACTTAGGGATGAGATTTGATTTATGTTTTGTTCAGAGGATTGTGACATTTTTGGAATTCTCCACCAGACAGGGCTGTGGAAGCTCAGATATAGAGTATGTTTAAGTTTGAGATCATTATTTAGCAAATTGCCAGTGGTGCAAAGGAATTAGGGGGATTATGAGGAGAAGAGGCAATGAAGTGCTCGATCAGCCATGATTGCATTAATTGCAAAGAGAACCAAAGAAGAATTATGAGAAAAGACAAGCAGCTGAAGTCAAGGGGAATCCCAAAATCTTCTACAGGCAAATGCATAGTAACAGAGGTTACTGGAGGAGTAGGGCTGATAAGCAGCCAGAAAGGGGATTTGCACATGGAAGCAAGGAGCATGGCTGAGATGTTAAACAAATACCTTTTGCATCTGACTTTACAAAAGAAGATGCTGCTGCTTAGACCGTTGTGACAAAAGAGGAAACTCTGTCTGTAAAAAGAATGAGGGCCATAGATTTCAAGTGACATGCAAAGGTGTTGACAAACGTTTTCACACTGAGTAGTTAGGTAAATGGAGTACACTGCCTGGAAATATGCTGGAGTCGAGTTCAATTGAGGCATTCAAGAGGGCATTGGATGTGTTTTTGGAGAGAAATGATGTGTAGGGATATGGGGAAAATGATCTAGGTGCAGGCACAATTGGGCTGAATGGCCGCCTTCTGTACTTTAGCAATTCTGTGTTCATGTGTGCTTGATTTACAGTTGAGGCACCAGGACACTGCTGTGCTTCGCCAGTCAACATGTTTATCATTGGATGATTATTTGGAAAGAAATTGTGGGCGTAGGTATGGGGGTGAAAAGCAGCAGATTGGCAGTAGGTAATGATGCTCATTTGAAGAGACGGTACACCTTCTGCACTGTAACAAATCTATAATGCTATGAATAATGGAGAAAATCTGATGGACTGAATGGCTTATTTCTGTTCCGAGGGACTAAAGAGCTGAATTCCAGCGGTGAGGTGAGAGTGACTGCTCTTGAGATCAAAGCTGCATTTGGTCAAGTGCGGTGTTACAGAGCCCTGGCAAAACTGGGGTTTGTGGGAATTGGGGGATACTCTTGTGAATGTTTGTTAAACAAAGGAATTAAGGGAAAATCAAAAGAACTGTGGATGCTGTAAATCAGGAACAAAAACAGAAGATACTGGATGCACAGCAGGTCTGGCAGCATCTGTGAAGAAAAAAAATCAGAGTTAACATTTTGGGTCTGGTGACCCTTTCTCAGAATGTTAACTCTGATCTTTTTCTTGACAGATGCTGCCTGACATGCTGAGCTTCTAGTAACTTCTGTTTTTGTTTTTGGAAGGAAATAAGGGATATGGGCCAAAAGCAGGTATATGAAGTTAGGCCACAGATCAGCCATGATCTCATGGAATGACAGAATGGGATCAAGGGCTGAATGGCTTACTTCTGTTGCTATTAAATCCTTCCACCACTGATGATCAGTAGCAACAGTATATGTCATCTATAATGTGTGCTACAGAAATCGACCATGGCTGCTTAAGCAGTACCTTCCAAACCCACCACCACTACTATCTATAAGTACAATGGCAGCTGATACGTGGGAAAACCACCCCTACAAGTTCCCCTTCAAGATTTCCTGACTTGAAAATCTATTGCTGTTCCTTTGTTGCCACTGGGTCAAAATCCTGGAATTCCCATCCGAACAGCATCGTGGTCTGTGTACAGCACGTGGACTGCTGTGGTGCAAGAAGGCAGCACAGCACCACTTTCTCAAGGCCAACTACAGAGGGGTAATAAATGGCACATCCCATTTTTAAACAAGTACTGATACATTTATCAATGTAGAGGGATCAGAGGTGAACAAAGAGATTTGAATAGAACTGGGGGAAAAAAATTCCACTTATTTACTTTAGCGATGGAAAGGGATCGGTATATAACGCAGGGCAAGAGTTATAGCTGGGGGAAAGGCAATTATGAGGCGATGAGGCAAGATTTAGGATGCATAGGATGGAGAAGGAAACTGCAGGGGCTGGGCACAATTGAAATGTGGAGCTTGTTCAAGGAACAGCGACTGCGTGTCCTTGAGAAGTATGTACCTGTCAGGCAGGGAGGAAGTGGTCGAGCAAGGGAACCGTGGTTTACTAAAGAAGTTGAATCTCTTGTCAAGAGGAAGAAGGAGGCTTATGTAGAGATGAGGCATGAAGGCTCAGTTAGGGCGCTTGAGAGTTATAAGTTAGCCAGGAAGGACCTAAAGAGAGAGCTAAGAAGAGCCAGGAGGGGACATGAGAAGTCTTTAGCAGGTAGGGTCAAGGAAAACCCTAAAGCTTTCTATAGGTATGTCAGGAATAAAAGAATGACTAGAGTAAGATTGAGGCCGGTCAAGGACGGTAGTGGGAAGTTGTGCGTGAAGTCCAAAGAGATAGGAGAGGTGCTAAATGAATATTTTTTGTCTTTTTCCTGTGTGAATACTGACAATGTAGTTGAGGAGAATACTGAGATACAGTCTATTAGACGAGACGGGATTGAGGTTCATAAGGAGGAGGTGTTAGCAATTCTGGAAGGTGTGAAAATAGACAAGTCCCCTGGGCCGGATGGGATTTATCCTAGGATTCTCTGGGAAGCTAGAGAGGAGATTGCAGAGCCTTTGGCTTTGATCTTTATGTCATCATTGTCTTCAGGAATAGTGCCAGAAGACTGGAGACTAGCAAATGTTGTCCCCTTGTTCAAGAAGGGGAGTAGAGACAACCCTGGTAATTATAGACCAGTGAGCCTTACTTCGGTTGTGGGTAAAGTGTTGGAAAGGATTATAAGAGATAGGATTTATAATCATCTAGAAAGGAATAAATTGATTAGGGATAGTCAACACGGTTTTGTGAAGGGTAGGTCGTGCCTCACAAACCTTATTGAGTTCTTCGAGAAGGTGAACAAACAGGTGGATGAGGGTAAAGCGGTTGATGTGGTGTAAATGGATTTCAGTAAAGCGTTTGATAAGGTTCCCCATGGTAGGCTATTGCAGAAAATACGGAGGCATGGGATTGAGGGTGATTTAGCGGTTTGGATCAGAAATTGACTAGCTGTAAGAAGACAGAGGGTGGTGGTTGATGGGAAATGTTCATCCTGGAGTTCAGTTACTAGTGGTGTACCTCAAGGATCTGTTTTGGGGCCACTGCTGTTTGTCATTTTTATAAATGACCTGGATGAGGGCGTAGAAGGATGGGTTAGTAAATTTGCAGATGACACCAAAGTTGGTGGAGTTGTGGATAGTGCGGAAGGATGTTGCAGGTTACAGAGGGGCATAGATAAGCTAGAGCTGGGCTGAGAGGTGGCAAATGGAGTTTAATGCGGAAAAGTGTGAGGTGATTCACTTTGGAAGGAGTAACAGGAATACAGAGTACTGGGCTAATGGTAAGATTCTTGGTAGCGTGGATGAGCAGAAAGATCTCGCTGTCCATGTGCATAGATCACTGAAAGTTGCGACCCAAGTTGATAGCGTTGTTAAGAAGGCGTACGGTATGTTAGGTTTTATTGGTAGAGGGATTGAGTTTCGGAGCCATGAGGTCATGTTGCAGCTGTACAAAACTCTGGTGCGGCCGCACTTGGAGTATTGCGTACGGTTCTGGTCACCGCATTATAGGAAGGATGTGGAAGCATTGGAAAGTGTGCAGAGGAGATTTACCAGGATGTTGCCTGGTATGGAGGGAAGGTCTTATGAGGAAAGGCTGAGGGTTTTGAGGCTGTTTTCGTTAGAGAGAAGAAGGTTAAGAGGTGACTTGATAGAGACATACAAGATGATCAGAGGATTAGATAGGGTGGACAGTGGGAGCCTTTTTCCTCGGATGGTGATGGCTAGCACGAGAGGACATAGCTTTAAATTGAGGGGTGATAGATATAGGACAGATGTCAGAGGTAGGTTCTTTACTCAGAGAGTAATAAGGGCGTGGAATGCCCTGCCTGCAAAAATAGTAGACTCGCCGACTTTAAGGGCATTTAAATGGTCATTGGATAAACATATGGATGATAATGGAATAGTTACGGTTAGATGGGCTTCAGATTGGTTTCACAAGTCGGCGCAACATCGAGGGCCGAAGGACCTGTACTGCGCTGTAATGTTCTATGTTCTATTTGCTGTGATTGATTGTTGTCACATGTACTGGGATACAGTGAAAAGTGTTGTTTTGCCTGCTATTCAGGCATATCATATCACACACAGTGCATCAGGGTAGCAGAACAGAGTGCAGAATACAGAGTGTTAGAACCACAGAGAAGGTGCAGAGAGAGAGATCACAATTAACAGCGGGAAAGAAGCAGTTCTTAAATCTCTTCGCATGTATATTCAATCTTTTCTATCTTCTGCCTGGAAGAAGAGGCTGGAAAGAGTATAACTGGGGAGGGGTCTTCGATTCTGTTGGTTGCTTTTCTGAGGCATCAGAAAGTCTGGATGGGTTCAGTGGCTGGTTTGCGTAATGGACTGGACTGTGTTCATGACTCTGTATAGTTTCTCTCAGTCTTTGGAAGAACAGTTACCATACCACATGTATCCAGATAGGGTGCTTTCTGTGGTGCATCTATAAAAATTGGTAAGAGTCCTTGTGCACATGCCAAATTTCCTTAGTCTTCCGAGGAAGTTGAGACATTGTTGTGCTTTCTTGACCATCGTGTTGACATGGGTGGACCAGGGCAGATTGGTGATCATCACTTCCAGGAATATGCTGCTCTCAACCATCTCTGCCTCAGCATCATTGATGCAGACAGGGGTGTGCTCTCCACTCTGCTTCCTGAAGTCAATGACCAGCTCCTTTATTTTGCTGATGTTGATGGAGATTTTTGCCTTTATACGAAGCTGCTAAGCACTCGATCCCTTTCCTGTGTTCTGTATCATTGTTTTTTGGGATCAGACTGACAATAGTAATGTCATCGGCAAACTTGTAAATGGAGCAGGAGTGGAATTTGGCCACACAGTCGTGAGTGTAAAAGGAGTATATTCGGGGGCTGAGTACGCAGCCTTAAAGGGCACCGGTGTTGAGGGTTATGGTTAAGGTGGTGTTGCCTAATTTTACTGATTGTAGTCTATGGGTCAGGAAGTTAAGGATCCAGTTACAGAAGGAGGAGCTGAGACCTAGGTCTCAGAGTTTATAGATGAGTTTGTTTGGAATTATGATGTTGAAGGCAGAATTAATCAATAATTAAGAGCCTGGCGTAGACGTCCTTATGATCCAGATGTTCCAAGGATGAGTGTAGGGCCAGGGAGATGGTGTCTGCTGTGGACCTGTTACGTTGATAGGCGAGTTGCAAAGAACCAAGGCAATTTGTTAGGCTGGAGTTGATGTGAGCCATGACTAACCTATTGAAGCACTTCATAATTATGGAGGTCAAAACCACCAGGCAGAAGTCATTGAGGCACACTGCATGGTATTTCTTTGACAATGAGATAGTAGTGATCTTCTTGAAGCAGGCAGGGACTTCCTGTCGTAGTAAGGACAGATTAAAAATGACTGTGAATAATCCCGCCAGCTAGTCTGCACAGGATCTGAGTGCACAGCCAGGGACTGCAATCGGGCCAGTCACAATGTAGCATCGTTTTCAGTGAGGCCATGCTTCCATTAGAAAGAAGTGGAGAGCTCTTATAGTATCCTCGGAGGTAGGCATGGTGGTATCAGGTCCACAGGCCAAGTTCAGAAAGCTGTCAGTCTTACTTCATCAAAGAAACTTAGTATCTTGCACAACAGTGCCACTTCTCTTATACACTGGTCTGATATACATCCATCAAACAGTGATATAACATTAATGTTATATCAAAGTATTGAGGATGATGGAGATCTAAAATAAAAACAAGCAATGCTGGAGAAACTCAGCAGGTCTGGCAGCATCAGTGGAGAGCAAAACAGTTAATGTTTTGAGTCCAATATAACTCTTCAGCACAGCATTTACTCTCTTTCTAACTCTGAAGAGAGCAGACCAATTGAGTTTCTCCAGCATTCTCTGTTTGTAATCAGTGTACAGAGGTCTGGTTTGACACTGATAAATAGATATTTAATCATTACAATCCTATATGAGCAGTGTTTCATCCCCTTCAGAACCAGTTCACTGAACTCTTGTGAACCATTCTTACAATTCCCAAAAGCTACAACATAACTGTACAACAGTATACATCAGCTGCTTCCACTGAACTATCTTGTATAAGCTTACACCTGTCTATCAGTGTGAGATCTCCACAAGAATGTCTCGTACAGACAGCCCTGAATCTGTTTGACTAAGTTTGATGACACCACAACTGCAAAGGGTGAACTTTCCAGACGTGATGCAGCCCAGAATTTCAAAAACGTGTCCATAAACGGCAAAGATTCAATTGCAAGACTGCTACCTGAGTGGTGAATCAAATGCAGTTTCCATTTCAGCATAGAAGAACAGTGACTGGCTGAAAACCACATACCTTTTCAAGTGATAAATTAAAGTGGAAATCTCACAGCATCTAGCATTGTGGGCTTTGTTTTGCTGGCACGTGATTTTACTTCTTCCTGTTTGTTTTTGCATCTCTTTTCAAAAATGACTAATATCAGGCTTCACTGAACTTTTACTGTGCCAGTCTAACAGAATGCAGCACAAAGACTGTGTTTGTTTTATCCTAACTGAGCAGTGATCTGAACTCGTCAGTCTCTTGTCACATTCCGCACAGTGCAGTAGTGTTTCTGACTAAGCTGTCCTGCATTCATGTGCCAAAAAAACACATCTTCAAATGTCCAATTGGAAGTAGTGTGTTGTAGAGATGTCACTGTTGCGGAGAGAGCCAGCAAGGAGTCCGGGAGGAGCAGGAGGAGGGCTGGGGTAAGGTAAGGACTGAGTTCTGGACAGCTGTGAGTAGAGAGTTGCAGGGGAATGAGGGAGACAGAGAGAGAACTTGGGGCAGGGAGGTGGGGGAATCCAAGAGAGCCTGTAGTGGGAGCACGTGTAGAGAATCTTAAGATGGTCCTGTGAGCAAGAGTGGTACACAGATGGTGATTTGAGGGGTTCCGAAGCGGGGTTATGGTGAGGGGGATTGGGAGGTCAATTGGGAGGAGGTGGTTGAGGTCGATGAGGTGCCAGCCAGTATTGGCATCAGATGAAAGGGACACACCTTTGAGGACAGTTGCAGCAAAACAGCGGATGTACTCCAAGCTGAAGTATATGTGAACAACTATTCATGGTTAATTCTTGCTGCCATCTCTCTGGGTGACTGTGTGATGCATGTATGGATAGTGGGGGGTTTGGTGTCATAATTTACAAGGCTTTCTCTGGACTGAGGTTAACGTGTTCTGTCTTTTTTTCCAATCGTTTCCAGTTGAAAATGGAGAGCACTGTGACTTTTCTCTTCTGCGCAACATGCTGATCAGGTAAACCCTCTTGCTGACCAATAATAAACCATGCTCTCTCCTCTTGTAGCTCAAGAAGTCAGAGTGGGAGTAGATGAAACAGCTTGTCAATCCTGTTCCTCCTCATCTCTGTTCTAAGTGACCATTCTCTTATCCTTAGAATCTGCCCCTGTGCTCTCGATGCGCCAACGAGAGGAAAGCAGTCTCTTTGTGTCTATCCCATCAGTTCCCTTCCTGTACATTTCTATGAGTTTGCCTTTCACTCTTCTAAACACCAAAGATAGTCACTTCTGTTTAATTGGCCTCTTCTGTGGGACAACCATTAACAAATCTACATCCTTAGTAATATATGACAGTCAAACTCCCAGAACACTTTTACCTTGAGTTGGGTGACACATTGGCTTAGTGGTTAGCTTCACAGCGCCAGGGATCCGGGTTCGATCCCATTCTTGGGTGACTGTCTGTATGGAGTTGCATGTTCTCCCCATGTCTGTGTTTCCTCCAGGTGCTCCAGTTTCCTCCCACAGTGCACGCTAGGTGGATTAGCCATGCTAAATTGCCCCATAGTGTCAGGGATGTACAGGTTTGGTGGATTAGCCATGGGAAATGCAGGTTTACAGTGATAGGGTAGGGGTGTGGATCTGGGTGGGATGGTCTTCGGAGGGTCAGTGCAGACTCGATGGGCTGAATGCCCTGTTTCCATGCTGTAGGGATTCTATGATTTGTGCAGCACTCCTTTGAATACCTTTGAGAAATCCAGGTGTACTGCATCCATTGGATCTCCATTATCTCCAATCAATTTTCCATTTCCCATTTACAAATACGGTCTTATCCATCAAATGATTTATGCAGTAAGACCTTAATTTAGCCCAGTCCTGTGCCTCTGGGTTGTTGGGTATGTGGGGGAGGTGCTCTCTCTGGGTTCTTGTGCTAAGTGGGGAAGATGCCGTATCTTGAATATAGGGAGATCTAGCCATTTGGATACCAAATTGGCTTGAAGGTAGGAGACAGAGGGTGGTAGTGGAAGCTTTCTTTTCAGACTGGAGGCCTGTAACCAGTGGGGTTCCATAAGGATTGGTGCTGGGGCCACTGCTTTTTGTCATTTATATGAATGATTTGGATGTGAACATAAGAGGTATGGTTAGTAAGTTGATGACACCAAATTTGGTGGTGTAGTGGACAGTAAAGAAGGTTACCTCAAAGTACAATGGGACCTTCACCAGGTTGGCCTGTGGGTCAAGGAGTGGCAGATGGAGTTTCATCTGGATAAATCTGAACTGCTACATTTTGGTAGGGCAAATCAGGGCAGGACGTATACGCTTAATGGTAATGACCTGAGGAGTGTTTTTGAACTAAGAGACCTTGAAGTGCAGGTTCATAGTTCCTTGAAAGTGGAGTCACAAGTAGACAGGACAGTGAAGAAGGCGTTTGGTATCCTTGCCTTTATTGATCAGTGCATTGAGTACAGGAGTTGGGATGTACTGTTGTGGCTGTACACAACATTGGTTAGGCCACTATTGGAATACTGTGTGCAATTCTGGTCTCCCAGATATAGGAACGATGTTGTGAAACTTGAAAGGGTCAGAAAAGATTTACAAGGATGTTGCCAGGGTTGAACGGTTTGAGCTAGAGGGAGTAATTAAAAGGGCTGGGGCTATTTTCTATGGAGTATCGGAGGCTGAGGGCTGACCTTATAGAGGTTTATAAAATCATGAGGGGCATGGATAGGGTGAATAGTCAAGTTCCCCTGGGGTGGAAGAGTCCAAAACTAGAGGGCATAGGTTTAGCGTGAGAGAGGAAAGATTTAAAAGGGACCTAAGAGGGCAGCATATTCACGCAGAGGGCGGTGCACATATGGAATGAGTGCCAGAGGAAGTGGTGGAGGTTGGTACAATTAGAACATTTAAAAGGCACCTGGATGGGTATATAAATAGGAAGGGTTGGGAGGGATATGAGCCAAATGCTGGCAAATGGGACTAGATTAATACAGAATATCTGGTTGGCATGGACGAGTTGGACCGAAGGGTCTGTTCCCATGCTGTACGTCTCTGACTCAGTTGCTTTCCATGATCTGAATAATGTGCTTTTTTTTAATTGCAGGACACACATGCAAGATCTGAAAGATATCACCAACAATGTCCACTATGAGAATTACCGGAGTCGCAAGTTGGCAGCAGTGACTGGCAATGGGATTGATGCCAGTAAAACGAAGGGACCCCTCACCAGGTCAGTCTTATAATGGACCTATGTGGGCTTATGTCCTTCCAAAGGTGAGTTGCTAACACAGTCCATCACTAAATCCAGCTGGGTGCTGAGTGAAGCAGATTGAGGTATCAACGACTCTCCAACTTGCACAGAGCAATCAGAGGGGCATGTCGGATATTTGCTTGTATCTGCTGTCTTTTTGGCAAGGAATTCAGCCTGAGTAATGCGTGACTTCTGGCCCTCAGCAATGTGGTTGACTTTTAATTGCCCTCTGAAATGGCTCTAACAAGCTGCTGCATTGTAAGGAGCAGCTCCAGAAAATTCACCAAGGGTGTGAAGCAGACGCACTACCTGGCATTAGTGTGGGCACTAGAAATCGCAAAGGTACAGCCAGCCTGTGCAACCTCCACACTAACACTAACGCTTTTGCTAGGATTGGAAGAGTATCTTGTGGTCCAGATGAACAACAGCCAGACATAGAACCATGTTTTAGAGAAAGTTATCACCGTGACCATTGCTGAATGCCCCTGTGTCCTTCTGTGGGTTTACAATGCAAGGGGAGTGTTTGGGAGAGCAGTTTCCTGTGGACTGTGCAAGGGGAGTGTTTGTGCTGGAGAGGGGGACAGGATTTCGTGTGGGGAGCGTTTATGGGTCAGAGTACCTGTGGACTGTACAAGAGTGTTTATGGGATGTTTCCTGTGAATTCTGCAAGCGGAGTATTGGGGCTCTAATTTGCGGTGTTGAATGGCAGGAGTCCATTGGCTGAAATGGAGGAAGAACGCCGTGAGCACGTGGCCAAAATGAAGAAGATGGAGACAGAGATGGAGCAAGTCTTTGAGATGAAGGTTAAAGAGAAAAAGCAGAAACTTAAGGACTCTGAAAATGAGGTACCACATCGCACCTATTGGTCTTGCATCCCACTTCTCCCTTTTTCTCACTTGGTTCTTTTTTCCCTCTTTCATCAATCTCTCGCACCGCCCCCCCATCTCTCTCTCCTTCCGCACCCCCCATCTCTCTCTCCCTCTCTCTTGCCTTGCACTCGTGGTCACACCCCCTCCCTCCCTCTGCGCTCGCCCACACTGTACCCACTGTCTTACTGACTCCCCTCAATCTGTTCTGACCCATCCTCCAACACTCTTGATCAGTGTGTGTGCTGGTACTGGATTCTGGCTCTGGTTCAAGCTCCTGCTGTTCTCTGACTCCCAACTGTAGCTGCAACGTCGTCATGAGCAGATGAAGAAGAATTTGGAGGCACAATATAAGGAACTCGAGGAGAAACGCAAACAGTTTGAGGAGGAGAAAGCAGCCTGGGAGATGGAACAGCGTGTGTTGGAGCAGCAGAGGCTCGATTCATCAAAGTGAGTGCAATAGAGTGTGGCTGTGAGAGACAGCGTGCACACACAGATGCAAGGGATGGTGGGGGGAAGGGCGGGGGGGAGAGAGAGAGGGTGCACAAGGGATGGGGGAGCAAAAGTATGATCAAGCAAGGAGCTGTTGGCTTTTTTCCACTTGCTCTCTCTTCCTCACTCCTTAATCATCCTCACCCTTCACTCACCCCCAAGCAATTGTGAAGCAGATATGTGTCAATTCACTAAAGTGTGTTAAGGTACAAATAGGATAATTATATTTAGGGTCTCAACTACCCTGATATTAATTGGAATAATGATGATGTAAGGGGTTTCGAGGAGGCAGTTTTCTTGAAATATAGTCAGGAGGGCTTTAGTATGTCAATATGTGGATGGTCCTACAGGGCAGTGCTGAACTGAATTCTGGAAAATGAAGTCAAACAGGTGTTCGAGGTGACAGTGGTGATTATTTTCGGTGATAAAACATAGTGTTGTGGTCATTCAGTTTGTTATGGAAAAGGAGAAAGATTATCTGTGAAAAAGGGTTTTGGATTTGGGTAAGGCAGATTTTATTAAAATAAGACAGGATCTCGTCAAAATAGACTGGAAACAGCTACTTGATGGTAAATCTACAGCAGAACATTCAAAAAGGTACTGGGGACAATACATCCCAACATGTTCCTTTTGGAGCGAAACATAGTAGAGAACACTGGATGTCTAGGACTGTTAAACTTTGCTAATGTATCTGCTTCTACCACCTCCCCTGGCAACACATTCCAGACATCTACCACCTCTGTGTTTAAAACAAAATTCCCCATCTCATCTTAAATCCATGTCCTGAATTATTTGAAATTTCCACCTTGGGAAAAGGGTTCCTATTATCCATTCTATTCATGCCTCTCATAATTTTGTATACTTCTATTAGCCCGCCCCTCAGCCTCAGATTGCTTTAACTAGAGTATCAAAGTTTGTCCAACCTCTCCTCATAGCAAATATACTCCTATCCAGGGAACATCCTGGTAAACCTCTTTTGCACCATGTCCAAAGCCTCCACATCCTTCCTACAGTGCAGTGACCGGAACTGCATCCAGTACTCCAAACTGAAGTTACCCTAACTAAATTTTATACAGCTGCAACATGACTTGCCAACTTTTTATAATCAATGCCCCAACAGGCAAAGCATGTTGTGTGCCTCCTTTACCACTATCCACTTGTGTTGCCACTTTGAGGGAGCTATGGACTTAAACCCTAAGATCTCCCTGTGCATCAGTGCTCCTAAGGGACCGGCCATTTACTGTATACTCTCCTCTTGCATTCTTCACTATCCACAACTCCACTAATTCATTGGCAAATTTACTAATCAGACCACTGAAAAATTCATTCAAATCATTTACATTACAGTGGGCATGGGCAGGGTAAATGGAAAGTAGCAGTTCTCCAAAGGAACAGCGACAAGGGGGCATAAGTGAAAGGCAGGAGGTGTGGAGGGGATTTGAGGAAATCAATTTTTCTTTGAGGGTAGTCGAGGTCTTGAATGTGCTACCTGGAGGTGGGAATCTCTCAATCTTTGAAAAGTACTTGGATGAGCATTTGAAATGTTGTAACATTGAGGGGTAAAGGTGTAGTGCAGGAAAGTAGAGTAGGTAGTAGTATGTTTTAGCTGGTACAGACTCAATGGGCAGAAGGGCCTTTTCTGTCCTGTATGATTCTATTATTCTATGACTCTCCCCTCATCTTTGTGTGCCCTCCCCCAGCTCTTATGTCCAGTATACAGTGTCTGAGTGAGTTAAACTGACAGCTTTCTTTTTAATCCCCTCAGAACAATGGAGAAAAACAAAAAGAAAGGCAAGATTTTCTGAGGTTTATTGTCCAAATGTTTCTGGCTGACATCATTATCCACCCTGCAGCTTCTGGACATCAATAAATGCCACTGATCACACATTTCCGGAACTGTCTTTGTCCCACCGGACTGCTGATGAAATGGTGAATATATACCAGATCAAGGCCACACGCTTCTTCACTGAGCCTCTCAATGTAGTTAAACTCTGTGTTATTTAGTGTCTTGCAGGGTGAGGAGGATTGCTCGTGTCTGCCAACACTGCAATGCTGCTTACACTAGCCTCCCTCTGATTAAAGGGTCAGCTCTTGGCTTCCAAATTCCTGCCTGCTTGCTGTGCTCTGACACGTCCCTTACTTTCAGCAGGTGACTCATAGCAAAGCCTAGGCAACTCCAGTTGCTGCTTTTCCCTGAATCCTCGGATATTGCCAGGAGTTGATCGGGATGGTGTGCGATGAGGGGGTTTGTAGTGTTTGGGGATGGAGACTGCTAAACGTCCCCCACCCCTCATACTGATCACGAATGGGACTGAGCGGTCTACAGCTCAATCTCTGAGCTATTACTGAGAAAGCCCATACAGTTACTGAATACATTGACCATTCCACACAGCAACTCTGATTCCTGTTTGTGGTCGTGTTTTAGTGAGTAGGCCCAACATCTCGTACATTCACTTGAGTGAATGAGCACCAGCTCGTGGTGATTTTTCTCTGTGTAAGCTCTTTGCCTCCTGATTCCCAGTGATTCTGAGTGAGTTTTGATGCTGTGCGCGATTCCTGTTGTGTAACTGCTCCCAGGTGCTCCTGCTGCCCTCTTGTCTGATTTTCTATAAGGTTAAACAGCATGGGATAATGTGCTTTGTCCCTGGCCTGGTGTTCAGACCCAGTGTGATTGTGCTGCAGCTACGGGCCAGCTTGAAAATGCTGTCTCACGTATTACTGAAGGTTTGCGATGTTTTTATGCTTTGTTCATCAGTTTATTCTACATGGAGAATCTGAAGCTAAGGCTTTTCACATCACAGCTTGGGGGACACTTTCTTTCTTTACCCTCCTCCCTCATTCCTTGCCTCATTCCCTCCCCATCTCTCCCTCTTTGTGTCCTCCCACCCTGCCATTCCTGTCTCCCTCTGGACTCCTGCTTTCTCTCCTCCCACAGGCCAGAAAGTGTTTCTGAGGGTGCAGTTGCTCTTCTGGGAGACAGACTGGATCTGATGGGCACATACCCAGTACCAGTGGCTGGGGGCTTTGACGAAGTAACTGAAGTATTGACTCAGACTCATTACCCCCACCTTGAGGCATTTATTGTAAGTTTTAAAACATAAGCTTCACTTTGATATTTTGTAACCATCACTGCCATGTATGTAAAGCAATGATTAAAGTCTCCAATATAAACTATCCTATTTCCAGGTGAGTGATATGCCTATGTTATTGTATTATATGGCATAGGACTGTACAAACACAGTCACAATCACATGCACACTCACTCACGCTCACGCTTATCCTTGCTGTCGTCCGCGCGCACACAGGCATGCACTCCACACAGACATCTATGTGCAATTGCACGCAAGGAGGGGTGGTGATGTTGTAATGCTACTGCACTAGTAATATAGGTACTCAGGCTAGCCCTACATATTTCTCCTTAATAACATTTGGGAGCAAGTGCCAAAATTTGGAGAGGTGTCTTGCAGACAGACATAGAAGATAGAAGCTGGTGTAGGCCATTCGACCCCTTGAACCTGCTCTGCCATTCAATGTGATCATGACTGATCATCGAGCTCAATACCCTAATCCTGCCCTCCCCCCATATCCCTTGATCCTTTTATAGCCACAAGAGCTTCTTGAAAACACGATGTTTTGGCCACAACCATTTCTTGTGGTAGTGAATTCCAGAAGCTCACCATTTCTGGTTGGAGAAATTTCTCCTTGTCTTAGCCCTAAAAGGTTTACCCCTTATCTTTAAACTATAACCCCTAGTTCTGGACGACTCATCATCAGAACATCCTTCTTGCATTTAGTCCTGTTAGAATTTTAAGGGTTTCTGAGACCCCCACCCCCCGTTCTTCTAAACTGCAGTGAATATAATCCTAACTGACCTAAATCTCTGCATATGTCAGTCCTGCCATCCCAGGAATCAATTTGTTAATCCTTCGCTGCACTCCCTCTATAGCAGGAACATCCCTCAGATTAGGAGACCAAACTGCTTGCAATACTTAAGGTGTGGCCACACCAATGCCCGGTATAATTGCACTGAGATACCCATGTTCCTGTACTCGAATCCTCATTATGAAGGTCAACATACAGTTGTCTGCTGCAGCTATACGCTAACTTGCAACAGCTGGTGCATGACAAAACCCAGGTCTCATTGAACTTTCTCGTCTCTCAATTTACAGCCATTCAAATAATTATCTGCATTCCTATTTTTGCTGTCAAAGTGAATAACCTCACATTTGTCCACACTATACTGTATCTGCCACGCATTTGCTCACTTATTTCCAATCACACTGCAACATCTCTGCATCCTCCTCACAGCTCACCCTTCCACCCAGGTTTGTGTC